TGCACATAAAAATATATTTCCTATACCCCAAGCTTTTAGGTAAAACCTAAGACTGACCGAAAAATGGGGATTCTGTAGACTTACAAGTGCATGGGATAGGACCTCAGAGAAGTTGAGAGTTCAACCTCCTCTCCTTCAATTTTTCAGTCAAATTCGCTCTCAGGATGAGGTACCACGTGTGGCTTGTGGCTTCAGGCAACCCATGAGAGTCTACTACATATTCCCGAAACAGTTGCACACCAGCTTGAGAACCAGAACACTGGGTGAAATGTCACATCAAACCACAAATTCCTTATACCTTAAATGAATTTACACTGTATCACTGTATGACAACTATACTTCAATAACTAAAAAAAAAAAAAAAAAAACCTCTGCAATCTCTTTCATATCATACAATACTATGTACTATACACATTTGCGTGATTTGTGTGCCTACTAAATTTTATCTTTATAAAAATCTAATTCAAAATCCATAAGCAAAACTAATATGAAAAAAGGCTGTTTCTGCATGTTACTAAGCAACACAGGATATATTTCAGAAAAAGTTCAAAAGATGCAGGATGACAAAGTACTTCCTACAGAAATGTACTCAATAATAAACAACTAACCACGAAGATTCTTTTACTTAATCTCCAATGACACAAATGTAAATCTTTATAAATTCTCACCACTGCACCACCTCACTTATTTGTGGAGCATAACAAATAACATGGAGGACATGGGGAGATGGAGAGGAGAAGGGAGTTGAGGGAAATTGGAAGGGGAGGTGAACCATGAGAGACTATGAACTCTGAAAAACAACCTGAGGGTCTTGAAGGGGCAGGGGGTGGGAGGTTGGGAGAACAAGGAGGTGGGTATTAGGGAGGGCACGTATTGCATGGAGCACTGGGTGTGGTACAAAAACAATGAATACTGTTACGCTGAAGAGAAATAAAAAATAATAATAAAATTAAATTAAATTAAAAAAAAATTCTCACCACTGGTCATGCAGCTCTGCAGTCTTGCAGTCTTACCATTCTTTGACTTAGGTAGGAAAAGATGAGTCTAAATTAGCGAGACTCCTGAATTGCACTATTTTAGAAAGAAATAGAACTAATTTTTATTTCACTTTAATTGTACACAGCAACCAAAATTAAGCTACAATATATTAACCCAACAGAACAGCTTGAAAGGGCCTGTGTAGAGTGGCTGGATTTCCACTGGGCTTTTATTCCTGAAGACTAATCACAGGGAATACAAAGTATTTCTTAAAATCACCGAATATCTGAGGAAAATCTATACCAGGAAAGCAACAATAGAGCATAAAAACAAAAACAAAAAAAAAAAAGAAAGAAAGAAAGCATACGGGGGGGGGGGATGCCAATCCAAATAATAATTGTCTTCACAGTGAAAAGGGAGGACATTACAGACATTACATCAATAAACAAGAACAGACCTTCTCTCCCCACCTCTAGAATTTAAGCAGCAGGTGAAGAGAATGCACACGACACAACTGAAAAGCAAATTACCAATGCTGGAAGACTGAGCTAACAAATTTTTTCAGAACTTAGAACCAAAATACAAAGAGATGGGAACTAGGAATGGACAATTATAATATTTGAAGGAGAGAAGTGATAGGTCTGGAAATACAAGTTCCAAAAAGAGAAAATAAACAGCTGGACAGAAGGAAATGATTTTGTTCATTCTTAAAATTATTATCAACATGATGACCTGACCCTTGAGCTTGAATATAAGAGTTTTCAGACTGAAGTGGCTGAATGAGACAAGAACACATGAATACATGAAAAAACAGTCATGCCTACACAATCAACAGATTCACTGATATGAAAAAAGAACAAAATCAAAAAAATCCTAAAAGCTTCCAGAAAGGAAAAAAGAAAGGCGTTTTCTACGAAGAAATAAGATCCAGATTGACACTGACATCTCTTCAGCAACACTGCAAATGAAGGGGCAATGGAGCAGTATCTTCACAGTTATGAGAGAAAGGAAATGTTTAAGCTGGGATTATCCTAGGCCCAGTCAAATTCCATTTAAAAATTTATTAAAGGATGATGACCAGCAAAACTCAAAAAAGAATCTAAGAAGTAGAGAAGAGTATAAGGAACAATGATGAGCAAAGTAATAAATATTAACTCAGAGACACATTTAAATAAATGCTACTAAGAAAAATGATTAACAACAACCCAGAATGCAGTTATCAGTTGGTCTCAACACCGGAAATGATAGGGGTAGGAAAGGCAAAGTTAAGGTGGGCAAAGTGAGAGGCAGAGGGAAAAAGTTAAGATATTAAGAAAAAATACAAATGAGTTTAAATATCTGAACTTAAACTACACTGGGGCTGTTAAAGTACAATGTACACCTTCAGGGAGAAAATGGAAAGCAGCAACAAGTATTGTCAAACCAACAAACAGCAACAAAGGAAAACAATAAAGTATGGTGAATGGCAAAAATAAATTAAGATAGGAAGAATAGCTCCAAACATCATTATCATCATTATATATTATATTTATAAATATAAACAGGTCAAAGTACCCAATTAAAGATCAGGGACTCTGAGTGTGGCTGAAAAGGAAAAAGCCAGATAAATATATATATATATATATATATATATATATATATAACAAAATGTTGCAGGGTAGTTGAATTAAGAGATGGAGAAAGATAAACCAGATAAAGGCTAACAGAAAAAAAATAAAACAAAACAGCAAAAATAGTTTCAGGAAAAATGGGATATAAGGAAAAATGTCTTAAAAAGGACAAAGAGGGGCGCCTGGATGGCTCAGTCAGTTAAGCATCCAACTCCTGATTTCAGGTCAGGTCATAATCTCAGGGTCGTGAGATCAAGCCCCACATTAGGCTCATGCTGTGCATAGTGCCTCCTAAGATCCTCTCTCTCTGTCCCTCCCACCCCGCACCCTGCTCTCTCTTCTCTTCAAAAGATAGGATCCACTAAGAACACTTGAGCAGCCTGGATAAAAATGCTTGTCATTCTTGAAATCTTGTCATCATCAGGTTGGGTGTCATTGCCAAGTCAGAGAACAAAACAAATCCCAGCCTTTGTAGAGCTTTTGTTCCAGTGGAAGACAGACCAAAACACTAATAAACAACGAAACTATACAGCATGTTGGATGGTGGTAAGTGCTAAAAAACTAAAATAAAACAGGGAAGCGTGAAAGGGAATGCAATTTCAAGTGCAGTTATTAAAGGCAAGCCTTACTGAGAAGGTAACATATGGGCAAGACCTCAAAGCTAAGGGGGCAATGATGCAGATTTCTGAAGGAAGACAATTCCAGACTAGGGACCCAGCAAGAGCTGGAAGGGGAAGTGGGCTCAAGATGGAGGAGCTCATTAGTAGTGGAGAAAGAACCAGACATCCAGGAAACAGAAACTAAGGCTCCCTCCCTGAACGACTTTAGGAAGTTTCAAAATAAAACACATGAGGTCAGCTTACTGAAAAATGACATAACCCAAAAGATGACTACAAGGAAGAGAATTTTAGAGATGTGTGACACGCAGTCAAGGAGACCTGAATTTAATCTGGAGAGGTTATCGGATTGTGACTCTAACTGAAACAGCCAAAGCCTACTTGATTGCATTTCACTCACCGTGAAGGAAGACTGTCTTAACAGAGAAAGGCTTAGTTTGAGTAGGATTCAGAAAACAGAGTTTGAGAGACAAAATGTGACTATGGGTTTCCAGCAAGGTCTGTGGGAAAGGGTATACTGATGAGTGGAATTGAAAAATGGGCTTATTTAAAGGATACAGATCTTCCTCCATTTATAATAGGGCTCTGTCCAAGAAACCTACCACAAGTCGAAAATGCATTTAATACAACTAACTCACCAGACATCACAGGTTAGTCTAGCCCACCTTCAGTGCGCTCTGAACCTCCCAGTAGCCTGCAGGGGGGTAAGTATCATCCACCAGAAAGATAATAAAGTATTGAATACTTCATGTAATTTTAAAAATAGAATGGTTATATGGGGACAGAATGGCTGCAAGTGCATTGGTTATTGACCCTTGTGATCACATGGCTGGCTGGAAGCTGTGCCCACTGTCTTCGCCCAGTATCACAAGGGAGTACTCTACTGCAAATCACTAGCCAAGGAAAAGAGCAAAATGCAAAATTCAAAATGGGTTTTCTACTGAATGCCTATCACTTTCACACTACCCTAAAGTCAAAAAATCATAAGTTGAACCATCCTAACCTGGGAAATGCCTGAACATTTTTCATTTTAATCATGAAGATAGATGTATCTGGAGATTATGAGGTCATTAGAATCATCCAGCTGATACCAGGATGAGAAAGCAACCTTAGGTAGTGGTAAATTCTCATATAGATTTCCTATAAGAAGAGAATGTCCTTATCAAAAGGGCCTGAGTGTCTAGTCCAAAGGAGACTTTTGCCAATGTATGCTAATAAAATAGCATTCTGATTTATTCGGTATTGTCATGTGAGTTTGGTTCTAATAGTCAATAGCCTTGAACTATCTGAATACATAGAAATAAAAGGGACCTAGAAGTTAAGGGCCAAGCTTTGAAAAGTAGTTATTACTGTGAGGTTGGGCTGGGTCAACCATTAGTAGGCCTCCTGGTGTCACCCATACCTCAGACTTCATCCCTCTGGTCAGATGTTAGAAATGCTATATTGAAGGAAGAGCTTGGACGTAACAGTATGGTGATGTACCCGACCCAGCACTCCATTACCATGAGCCACACAATCCTGAGCAGTGTCACTTAATCTCTCCGATCCTCAGTTACACAGCCTGTAAAATGAGAGTAATAATGGCTCTTCTACCTCTCTGGTTTGTTTTAAGGCTCAAAATCTACATCTAAAATGAACAGCTATATAAGTAGAAGGTATTAATACTAGCATCATTGCATGTCCTGCAGCAATGAGTATATAATTGATATGTCGAAGCACATTACCACAATTATCTGAAAATTGAAGACAAGATGAAAAACCACCAACCCACCGAATAAAATATAGGAAATCCTACCTCTCGGCAACTGGTTTGGCAATGTTTTCAAAAATGGTCTCTTGGCTTGCACCCTGATCAAAAATCTTTTGAAATCTGCAAATATGAAAGTGGTAGTTATTGAAAAGCTGAGCTTCAAACACAATTGGATTAATATTTTTTTTTTCCTAAAAGCTTTGCAAATTACCCCATATTTACATCACTGGGCTTACCTAACCTGACACAATGTTTGCCCTGTAGTTCTGACTACACTGCGCTGTTGTACCCCTGTATACAAATGGTGGGTAAACAGTATTGCTTTGACAAGATCTGCACAATAAATCCTTCTGAAAAACTGCAGCAGCTCTGAACCAAATAATAAACTGTGTGTTCTTTAGCCCTCAAGAGGGACAGTGTCTGCAACTGGCATCAAATTCGAATCCAGATAAGTGTGTGAAATGGAAACCCAAGAACAGGATGTAAATAAGCCGGTGAACTTCTGATGTCTGACCTGTAAGGACAGAACGCAGCTGTGAAATGTACGATTATCGAACTTAGTTTTTAAATTGTGAACTGAGGTTGATTTTTCATCAGTAGGTGCTACATCCTGGTATCGGCCACTTAAACTCTCAGGGTAGTTTTGCCCCTTTGGGTTGATCATGAATCAAAAGTCAAAAAGTAAATCAAGATGGGCCTGTAGAGAGATGTCTTTATCAGAATGCCAAGGCCAGGGGCGTGGGGTGGTGGAACGGTGTCAGTGCTTCTTATCTCGCAATGGTGCGGTGACTGAGCTTCGTATGAGATCATGGGCACAGTGGGAAACTCAAGGTAACTTTTATAGTGTGGTAAGTCGCTTACTGGCAGGAATGGCCCTCATTAAAACATCACGAAGGAAGTAAGAGGAAGAGGGAAACACATGGGGAGGTAAAGGAGGAGAGGGGTTGAAGTGGGGAGAGAAAAAGAGAGAGAGAAAAGCATAAGGATATAGGGCAAAATGTTAACAATCGGTGAATCTCCCACCAAGGGTCCAGGAGAGGCTATACTGCATTATTCTTCCACCTCTTCTGCATGTTTAAAATTTTTCAAAAATAAAAAAAATAAGGGTGGTGTGGCTTTAAAGCAAAACCTTTAAAACAAACATATTGAGCACATCCTAAGCGGCTTTCAGAATAGTTTAGGAACTTCTGGTCCATGGGTCTCACTTGTGACTCACAAGTGGGACCCATGGTCTATTAAAGTAGAAACTACATGGGGACGCCTGGGTGGCTCAGTTGGTTAAGCATCTGCCTTCGGCTCAGGTCATGAACCCCAGGTCCTGGGATTGAGTCCAGCATTAGGCTCCCTGCTTGGTGGGGAGCCTGCTTCTCCCTCCCGCTCTGCCTGCTGCTCCCCCTGCTTATGCTCTCTCCGACAAATAAATTAAAAAAAAAAAAAAAGTCTTTAGGGGAAAAAAAAAAAGTGGAGACTACATGAGATGTGGGACTATTTTCATGACCCAGGAGTTCAGGTGAATGTCTGGAGCTGGGCAGGAAATACAAAATGGAATGAAATTCATGGTCTTTAATCAACATTAACTTCAAAAGATCCTTAGAGCTTATCTACCTCCCTTTTGAAGAAGCAAATAATGAAACTATACAAAGAGAGGGATTGTCAGACACTCTGGCGACCAGGTCATTTAGCAGGCGAGATTATATCTTAGACAGCAGTATTTACCGGTTTGCTCAGAACACTCCTCAAAACCCTGCAGGTGCGTCACAGCTTCAGATATGAACGCTGACATAACACAGGGCCACTCAAGCGCTCTTCAGAGCTCTACCTACTGTGATATCTGAGCACAGACCCAGCGGTGCTTTTGAGGATGACGGCGATCGGGCTGATTTGCTTCTTCAACCAGGCTGGCCATGTCTGAGTGAATCCATCAGCCATTCCCAACTCCCCCTCTCAGAGTAATGGGAATTACATCGACCACCATGTAAACCCAAGAGACGGCAGGAGTTTCAGTAAATCATATAATGGTACTTAAAGACCACATATCATCATCCCAAAATATTTAAGTTTATGTAATGTAGTTACCTAGTAATTTGAAAAGTCATTAAGGATCAGCTGGCATCTGAAAACCATGGAAGGACAAAACAGAATTAGAGAGTTTAAAGAGTTCCGTGGAATCTTTTCCAGAAAAGGAAGTTGAAGCCCAGGGAGATAAAGCAATTTATTCACAGTCCTGGAGCTAATCAGTACCGCCCCCTGAAACATAAACTTCGGTGTCCTGATTCTGAGGAGGTCTTTTCAGTTATCAGGAAGTTGAGTAGGCTTTTTGTAAAATCCATTTCGACTTTGGCATATGTTGACCTCTTCCCACCCCAAACCTATTCTTCCTGGTCCTCCGCATCCTAGTACAGGACAACTCCATCCTTCTAAACATGCAGCCCAAAGCCCTCAGGGCGTCCTGAGTCCTCTCTTTCTCCATTACACTCTCAGTCCCACCTGTTCACTAACTCTGTCACCTCTGACCTTCAAAATGCATCTAGAATCCAACTATTTCTCCACATTTCCACTTGCTACTACCCGGCCCAAGCTACCATAATTTCTTCCCTGGTCTTCCTTGAAACAGACTGCTCTTACAGTCTATTTTTCAGGTGCTAGGACAAATGATCATGCTAAAACCTAAGTGAAATTATTTCATTCTTCTGCTCAAAACCCTCCATTACCTTCTCAAAAGACATTGGGAGGCAAAAGCTTACAATGACTTTTTCCCCAAAACAATCCTTACAATGACTTCTAAGGCTCCCTAGGATTTGGCCACTCGGCTGCTCCATTAACCTTCTTCTCCAGCCACACAGACCCCTTCAGTCTTCCTCAGACGTGCCAGCACACTCCCATCTCCGGGACTTGTTCTTGGTTTTTCCTTGACCTGGAATCCCAATCCCTCCAATATCTGAATGTCTGACTTCCTCACCTCCTTTAAGCCTTTGCTCAAATATCACCCTCCTGGGAAGCCTTCCCTGACTGCCCTATGAAATATTCTATCCCTCTCCTTTGCGGCCCTTCTTCCTGGCACCCTTTATTACCCTTGCCTGCCTTATTTTTCTCTGTGGCACTTAACAGTTTCTGATATACACTGTACTTAAGGATCTGCCTATCTACCTCTTCTCACTAAAATGTAAGCACCATAAAAGCTGGACCTTTGTTGCATTCTCTGCTATGTTCCTAGCCATTAAAACAGCACATGGAGGATGGTCAATAAATGTTTACTGATTGAATGAATGAATGTTCTTGGGACGAAACACCCTTAAGATGCTGAAATATTTATCTCTGAACATAGGTATAAGTTAAATACCTTACTAATTTCTTGATTTAATGTGCAAAGCCAGGGACACCTGGGTGGCTCAGTGGGTTAAAGTCTCTGCCTTCAGCTTAGGTCATGATCCCAGGGTTCTGGGATCCAGCCCTGCATCAGGTTCTCTGCTCAGCAGAGAGCCTGCTTCCCCTCCCTCTCTCTCTGCCTGCTGCTCTGCCTGCCTGTGATCTCTGTCTGCCAAATAAATAAATAAAAATCTTTAAATAAATAAATAAATAAAAATAAAATGCAAAGCCAATATTTTTAATCCAGAGATTCAGAAAGAATGAGTAAGATTTTAAAAAAGCAAATAACACATTTTCAATGAACATGTTTAAATGCACTGTTTCTATCTACATAATATAAAGAATACTTTGGAAAAGGACAATAGATAGAGACATGGCCAGTTGTTCCTAACAATCACATAGAATCGTGCTGAATAAAATGTTTCAGCAAACTGTGGCTTTATAAAAGGAGACTGACCCCGCTCAGCTGTCATGAAGTCATAGCCACTGATGTATGTGGCATGCTTACATCAGTTGGGGAAGGCCCACTTCAGAAAAAGTAAGTCATGTATTATAAAGCTGTTCCTTAAAGAACAAAATGAAAGGCAATGGGGAGCCAAAAAGACAGGGTAAGCACACCTTACTCTGCAGCCATGTGCTAGACACAAGAAGATGGGCTATAAAAGAAGATGGGGTAAATGAGACACAAAGGATAAACTGTCAAGACCAATGAGAATTTTATGAGACATAAGTAAATAAATATAAGAATTCAAGAGAAAACCATAAAAAATATCTGGACTGGTTATATGCAAAGGGCAAGGGCAAAAACAGTATGAAAACAGGGCCCAAGCCAAACAGCCCAGAAAGAAATGCAAGACAGCAATAAGGATTCCTTCCAGGGGACCCAGAAATCCACTATGTAAATTTAGGCAGAGATCAAATATGGCTTTGACTTGGGCTCAAACTTTTTCAAAAGCCAAAAGTTGGGAAGAAAGAAAATAGCACAGACTGAAACCAGAGAACAAAGGCAGCATAAAGGAGCCCAAATCCCCCATTTCAAGGCCTGGCTACCAGAAGAGAATTTGGACTGGGACGCCTGGGTGGCTCAGCAAGTTAAGCCACTGCCTTTGGCTCAGGTCATGATCCCAGGGTCCTGGGATCGAGTCCCACATCGGGTTCCTTGCTCAGTGGAGAGCCTGTTTTTTCTCTCTGCCTCTGACTGCCACTCTGCCTACTTGTGTGCTAGCGCGCTCTCCCTCTCTCTCTCTGACAAATAAATAAATAAAATCTTAAAAAAAAAAAGAAGAGAATTTGGACAAAAGGCACTGACGACAATCCAGGGGTGCCTGTTGGGTTGTTTCGCCTGATCCCTATAGCTCAGCACTGTCCAAGAGAAATATAATGCAATCCACACATGTGAGTATATATGTAATTTAACATTTTCCAGTAGCCACTTTTTTAAACAAAGAAACAGGTGAAATTAATTTTAAGAACCTATTTTTAATCCAATGTAACCCCAAACTTTATCATTTTAATATGCAATCGGTATGAAAAAATTCTTGAGATGTTTTACATTCTTTTTTTTTTTTCTTTCCCACACCAAGCCTTCAAAAATCCTCGATGTATTTTACACTTAGAGCACATCCCAGTTCAGGCTGGCAACATTTTAAGTACTTAAGAGCTACCTGTGGCTAGTGGCCACTACATGACACAGTAGAAATATGGAGTGTGCATATGGGCATATGAGACCCAGATATCATTTATGTTATAAAGAAAGCTCATGGATACAGCACACAGATTATACCTTGAGTTACTAACTTGAATAAAGTTTAGTCATACACTTAGCTTCCTATAAGTCCTAAATCATAGTGGGCCAAGGAGGAAAATGACAACACTGGAGAAATAGATGTAACAAAGAAAGGCTTGGATCTTGGGACAGCATCTTGGACAGAGAGAAACACATCCTCAGGGTGCTGGGGTGGCTCAGCTGGTTGAGCTTCTGCCTACAGCTCAGGTCATGATCCCACATTGGGCAGGATCTCTGCTCAGCAGGGACCCCGCTTCTCTCTCTCCCTCTGCTTACTGCTCTCCCTGCTTGTGCGAGCACTCGCACGTGCTCTCTCTCTCGCTCGCTCTCTCTGTGTCAAATAAATAAATAAATTCTTAAAAAAAAAAAAAAAAAAAAAAAAAGAAAGGAAACACTCCCTCTTTTCAACTCTGGGCCCAGCAATGAAAAGGCAGCTTGAAATCTACCTACTAGATGACATAGAAAATAGCACCACATTCTCCCCAAGAAATGGCACTAGTGATTTCACAGGGGATAATTAATGCACCACAAGAGTTAGTTCAATAGTGAAACAGAAGCAAAGGCAAAAGAGAAACTTACTTAAATTTGTAGCTTTCTCGCTTATTATTCACAAATCCATCTGCCAAATCACGAGGTAAGATAATTTCCAGGCTAGGGGTTAGTTTTTCATCTTCATCTATAGAATAAATCTGCAAATGTGAAGGCAGCAAATGAATATAGCACAGTAAAATTATGGCTTGAATTATGACCATGTTATTATGATAGGTATTGTAATTGTATAAAAAATTGTACTCAAGATAAGTCATAACCTACTATAATTTGGATAATTTTCCTCTTTGAACTGTGTGCAGACTCTGAAAAATATATGGAACAGAAAGAAGAGGTAAAATCTAAATCAATGCTCTACCAAAGCTCAGGTCCTCTCTGAATGATCTACTATTCAAATTTGAGCATCTGAATGTCTCTGTTGTTGAGAAACTAGTAGTTCTGAAAGCAGGACATAAATCTAAGTACTGCTTTGGAATTACATACCAGAAATTAACATCTTTCTGTGAGGAATAAGCATTTCTGAGCATTTACAAAGTGGCCGACATAGATCAAAGGACTAGGTCTGAGACTTCTCAGAGAGCTCACAAGAATGCTCTAATTCAAGTTATATTCAAAGCAGCCCAAGTTTCCATGAGACATATTCAGGATTTGATAAAAGACATGTGGTTTCAAAAGATATATGTAATTCATGTCTTTGATGTCATCTTCAAGGTTCTCCTCTCAGCTCAGCCACTAATTAGCAATGGACCTGGAAGAAATCACTTAACCTCTCTAAACTGATATGGAAATGAAGGGTTTTAACCAAGCACCTGTTCCACTGCAAATTCTCTGATTCTCTTCATGGTTACCTACTCCTTTATTTATTGGCCAGGAAAATCAAGGATTAAGCCTATAAAGAGGTCACGTGTAATAAAGAATAGCATGACTTGGTACCCAAAGACTTGCGTCCAACACTGAGCTCAATTTACCAGCTGTGTGACCAGCCACCACATTCAGAATCTCAGTTCCTTTATACATAAAATGAGGAAAACAGAATTGCCTTCCTTACAAGATTGCTATGGGGATAAATGATGTCATGGAAATGGAAGCATTTTGTAATGCACCATAAAAAATGTTAGTCATTAGATCGAGAGTTTTGTTTTGTTTTGTTTTGTTTTAAAGAAAAAACAGGAAATAAAAGTCTTTCACCAGGAAATAAAAGTCTTTCTAACAGGGAATACTTCCTGTTTAAGACTCATTTAGATGCTTGATTATGGGAGAAATGTCATATTCTTAAACAAGTAAAAGCTTACCTAAATCTCCCAAAAGTAAATAATTTTCCTAAGCAGTTTTTTATTGAACCTTCTCACCTAAAATGTGAAGAATTCATGCAGAAAAGTCATCCTGTAAAATAAAATTATTTGTAGAAAGTAATGGCATCAGGTCTGAGACTTTCCATAGCTAGGTTTTCTCAAGAGACATTTAAAAATTATATCCTGTAGGGCACTACACCAAAAAAAAAAAAAAAAGTTAATGACTAGGCAGGTGAGTGAGTGAAAGGGGTGTGTTAAGACATGAAACATACAAGAGTGAGGTACTCCTTTCAATGGGAGTCACGGTGTTTTCAAAAATTCTGTAACCCTCAGTGCTCTGAAGACAGAAAAGACCCTCTCTCTCGCTGATTAAGCCATTCTTTGAGGCATTGAGAAAAGTCCCTCTCAACCAGAAAATTTAGTTAGTCTAATAGATTGACTTTTTTACCTTTAGTCATAACAATACTTATTTAAGACACAGTGGGGGTTTTAAGGCCCAGAAGGCAATTACAAGAAATGCAAGAATGAATGTGAACGTGTTTTGAAATGTACTGAGCACTATACAAATGAAAAGCATGGCCATTGTTAAAATTATCAGAGGTTTGTCTTATGCATCTTCTAAGTTACCATTCTATAGATTATTATAATTTACTTTAAATTACCTTAAGGAATAAGACTAATGAAGTAATGGAACCACAAAATGAAGAGGAAAGAAAGAAAAATACAGGGGTGCCTGGGTGGTTCAGTCAGTTAAGCATCTGCCTTCAGCACATCATGATCTCAGGGTCCTGCCATCAAGCCCAACATTAGACTCCCTGCTCAGCGGGGAGCCTGCTTCTCCTTCTCCCTCTGCCGCTCTCGCTCAGTCTCCCTCTCTCAAATAAATAAATAAAATCTTAGAAAGAAAGAAAGAAAGAAAGAAAGAGAGAAAGGAAGAAAGAAAGAGAAACCAACTTTTGAATCACTCCTAGTTGAATGTCACAGGCAAAGAAACAACCATACATCTCCAGGAGCAAAAAGATAGGGTGTTAGAAGTGGTATTTCTAAGGGAGAGCAGGAATACACTAACTCAAAGTGTGTTCAGCTATGTTCTCTTATTTTTGTGTATGTGGCATAATGTTGCATCGTGGTAAGAATCTGCTATTTAAAAACATAGTAACACCTAAAAATACTTCCTGGAGCATCAAACAATCCACCCTACAGAATCTCACCAAAGAAATGCAAAAGGCAGCACAGTAAAATATCCAAACACTGCACTTTAAAAAAAGAGAAAGTTCAAAATAGCACCCAAGATTCTTCATCAACCCCCTATCATACTCCCTCCACCCCCTCACCCAACCAATCCTCTAATACTACCAAATCCAAACACCTGCTTCCCACTGCTGAGTCTATGTAGACAAGCTCAATATTTTTGACTAAGAATCTGAAGAGGTATGGAGGGACTTACATATAAAACACTTGGTATACATGATTAACTTTTAAAAACATTCTTCTAAGTGAATATAAGAGGAGAGAAAATGCTAAAGTATCCATGGTTCCTTTCTACACTGTTTTATTCCTTAAAAAAAAAAAAGTCTGTATTTTCTATGGAGTCTCCTCATGCACTTTATCCTCAAGTAGTCCATGAGTAAAAAAACTTTTGATGATAATGATGACAAAGATGCCATATTCTTTTTTCAAATACATAAACAGCACAATGCAAATGCTACATTATGATATACTATGATGTTACATATATATATGATAGATATGGAATAGATATAAAATATTATTAATAGTATACCCATTCCAGGCACTCATGAGTAAGACCCAGACTGCCCTTACCTAAGTTCTCACTTTGGGAGGCAAAATGTTTGGTCTTGAGAGCCAAGAACTTTAGAATAAAATGTCCTTCATTAAAATTTGGTTCTGCCACTCACTGGGTGGATTGCTTAACCGAATTATTTAACCTGAGACTCAGTCTCCTCATCTACAAAATGAGGAAAAATGACATCGACCTTGCAGAGTTCTCCTGAGAATCAGAGATAATGCAGACAAAATACCTAAGTGGTAAGAAAGACTGTGCTCTTTCTAGGGAGGAAAAAAAAAAGTGTTTTGAAACATTTAAGAAGCACATCTCTTCTCAGGGCGAGGGCAAAATCTTAACATTTTTGTACCTCTGAGCTTAGCACACTAGATGAGGCACCTAGTAAATGCTCAGTCGATGTTTTCTGAATGAAAAGTATATATATGTATACATATATATACTTTTAAAATGTATATATTTAAATATATAAATATATTTAAAATATATATATGCTTTGAAATGCATAAATATGTGTATCTGCAAGAAGTATTATGTGAAAGGTTCATGTTTGTGTCGCAGAAGGACGATGTAGTTAGGCAACAAATTCCTAAGGGCCCACCGTGCACAGAGCCACAGTCATAGGTGTTGAGTTTGTGTAACTACCTACATCATCTGTAACATCTCAGACGTGTATGGACACACATCTCCAGCTGGCACCTGCCGCTCGAGTGAGAAAGACGTTTGGGCTTATGTGTGCGCAGAGTGTGCAGAGCTGCGTGACCGCTTGCCAGAAAGGAGCCAGAAGAGGGCAAGATGAGGCGCGGCCCCTGTGAGCGCGCACACGGGCACACTCGCCCGCGTCGGCCCCTGCGTGAACACGTGTGCCGGGCGCCTGTGTGGGGCTCTGGGTACAGCGTCCGCGTCCGCGCCCGCCGGGCGCTGCAGGGCGGGAGTGGCCCGGCTGTCTGCCCGCGCCCCTGACAGCGCGGCGTTCGTGTCTGCGTGGCCGCCGGGGCGGCGCCTTAACTGAGTGTGCGGGACTCGGGTCGACATCCGGCGCCCGGCGCCAAACCCCCTCCCTAACCTAGGGCCCCGCGTGCCGTCCCTCCCCTGCCTGGGAGGCCCCGCCGCGCCGGCGCCCTCGTTGCCCGTACCCCTTGTTGCTGCTTCCGGACAGTGGGCTTCACCCTCGCGAAAATCTGTATGGTCTGCTTCACCATGTCTTCTTGGCTCTGCACTGACCCTTGACCTCTCTCAGGAGGGGGCTCCTAAAACTTCTGACTCCCACCACTTCCGGCCAGCCGCAGCCTTAGCAACAGTAACTAGGGACGCTACCCAAGGAGCACCGCGCCAACCAGGACCGCCTCCTCTCCCTAATTGATTACGGACTGCAGAGGGGGCTGAAAGGAAGTCCTGAGGGGCGGGGTTGGGGCGGGGTTGGAGCGGGACCGAGCGGCTATCGTTGCGCACGCGCGGGGTCAAGGTCTGGGCACCAGGTTTAGGTCCACAGCTGGCCTACTTAGTGGTTAATGGAGTGTCAACCACCATGCCCTGACCCGATTCCTTAATCCATTCTTTCTCTGTGCCAACACCTCTTTTTAGCACTGAAGTCATTCCGTTTTTTATTGTTCATTCACTGAAGAAATGTCACTTGATCTGTGACAAGCAGTATGCTGGCTGGGCGTTATCCTGAGCTGAGCACAACGGTGTCTGCCAACTTAGAGATCAGGGTCTGATAAAAGAGGCAGCTTTTCCACAGGAAGTTCCAAGTTATACCAGGACTGGGCACAAGATGCTGTGGAAGGCACCTCTTCTATCTCTGTCTTGGAAGAGGTCAAGACCGGAAGAGAGAGGGGCCGTTCGCCGTGCGGATGGCCCTGTCAGGAATGGTTGGGCTCCCTTGGGCACGGTTAGTAGGAAGGTAAATTCGTGCAGTCACTATGGAAAACAGGATGGAGGTTCCTCAAAAAATGAAAAATGGAAGTGCCATGTGATCCGGCACTTCCACCTCTGGAAACATATCCAAAAGAATTGAAATCTGGATCAAACAGATCACTGCTCGCCCATAATCATTGCAGCGTTAACCAGACATGGAAAAAAAACTTAAGTGTTCATCAGTGGATAAATGCGTAAAGGAAATGTGATATGGGCATATTTGAAGACTATTTAATATATTATTTATCTTCTATATATAATGGAATATTTTTCTGCCATTAAAAAAAAAGAATAAATGAAACAAGATGGGATCAGGAGGGAGACAAACCATAAGAGACTCTTAATCTCACAAAACAAACTAAGGGTTGCCGTGGGGAGCAGGTAGGGAGAAGGTAGTTGGGTTATGGACATTGGGGAGGGTATGTGCTATGGTGAGTGCTGTGAAGTGTGTAAACCTGGCGATTCAGAGACCTGTACCCCTGGGACTAATAATACATTATATGTTTATAAAAAAATTTTTTTAATTAAAAAAAAAGAAAGAAGGAAATCCTGGCATTTACAGGTACACAGATGAAACTGGAGAGCATTATGCTAAGTGAAATAATTTAGAGAAAGGCAAATAGTGTTTGATCTCATTTATCTGAAGAGTCTAAAAGAGCTGAATTCATAGAAACAGAGTAGAACAGGTAGCCAGGGGCTGGGAATGCAGAAAATGGGCAGATATTGGCCAAAGGTACAAACTTACAGTCATAAGACAAATAAGTTCTGAGAATCTAATGTACAGCATGGTGACTATAGTTAACAATATTGTGTTATATATTTAAAAGTTGCTAAGACAGTAAATCTTAAATATTCTCACCAGAAAAATAGATGGTAATTATGTGAAGTGATGGAGGTGTTAACTTTATTGTGATAACAGTTTCACAGTACAGATGATCCCTGACTTATGATGGTTTGACCAATGATTTTTCGACTTTATGATGGTGCAAAAGCAATATGTATTCACTAAAAACTGTACTTAGAGTTTTGAATTCTGCTCTTTTCCTAGGCTGACAATATACAGTATCATGTTGTCTCATGATGCTAGGCAGTAGGAGGGAGTCATATCTCCCAGTGAGCCCCACATGATCATAAGGTTAAACAACCTATGTACTTAGAACTATTCTATACCCATACAACCATTCTGTTTTTCACTTTCAGTGCATGATTCAATGCATTACACGAGATGTTCAATACTCTGTTAAAAAATAGGCTTCATGTTAGGTGATTTTTCCCAAATGTAGGCTAATCTAAGTGGTCTGGCACATTTAAAGTAGGTAGGCTAGGCTAAGCTACAGATGATTGGTAGGTTAGGTATGCATTTCCAATTAAGATATTTTCAACTTAAGATAGGTGTATTGGGACATAATCCCATCATAAACTGAGGAAGATCTATATATACATGGATCAGATTATCACATTGTACACCTTAAAACGTGTACATCAATTAACTCTCAATAAAGCTGGAAAATACATACTTACATACACGTATACATACATAAATACATAAGAAAGGGTGACTACCTTGGAAGACACTGTTAGCACATGAAAAAATGTTCAACATCATTATCCACCAGGAAAATATACCTTAAAACCAAAATGAGATGTCTCTACACATCTCTGAGAATAGCTACGATAAAAAATAGCAACAAAAGCAGGTCCAACTGGGATACAGGGAAACTGAATCACACATGCATTACTGGTGGGGATATAAAATGTAAAATGTATTGTGGATAATGGTGCAGCCATTCTAGAAAAACAGTTTGGCAGTTTCTTACAAAACTAATGATGCAACTACTGTAAGATCCAGCAATTATGCTCATGAGCATTTATCCCAAAGAAATGAAAACTTGTGCCTACGTGAAAAACCAGTACTTAAATGCTCATAGCAGCATTATTTGTAATAGCTCCAAAATGGAAATGACCAGAATGTCCTTCAAACAGTGAATGGATTTAAAACAACAACAAAAAAAAAAAAAAAACAAAAAAAACAAAAACAAAAAAAAAAAAAACGCTGTGGAATACTATTCAGCAATAAAAATGAAGGGACTACTAGTATATATAACAACTTGGATGAATTTCCAGAGAATTATGTTGAGTGAAAGAAGCCAGACTCAAAGTCAAATACGTATGATTCCATTTATATAACATTTTTGAAATGACAAAATTATAGAGATGAAGAGGAGATTAGTGGTTTCCAGGGGTTAGGGAGGAAGGGAGGGGGTAAGATGGCTATGGCTATAAAAGGATCCTGGTGATGGACTGTTTGTATCTTGGCTGTGGTGGTCACAGAAATCTGCATAGAATTGCATAGAATGAAACACACATGCACACGCACACATACACACACAAAAATGAGTGCATATAAAGTTGGTGAAAGTTAAATAAGATGGATTGATTGTATCAATGTCCATTCCTTGGTTGTGATGTTGTATTATAGTTATGCAAGATGCTAACTTTCGGGGAAACTGGGGGAAGGGGAAGCAGAAATCTCTCTGTATTATATCTTACAACTGCATGTGAGTCTACTATTATCTCAAAATACAAAGTTTTTAAAAAGAAATTCTTAGGGAATAAAAAGACAAGCCACAAACGGGGAGAATATTGTTGCAAAACACATATCTGATAAAGAACTTGCATCCAGAATGCCTAAAAACTCTTAAAACTCAATTAAAAAAATGGGAAAACAACCCAATTTACTTTTTGAAGGGGGGAATCAAAGATTTCAAGAGACACTTCCCAGTATATGGATGGCAAATAAGCATGTTTAACATACGACATTAACATAATTAATCCTTAACAAAATGCAAATTAAAATACAATGAGGAGCACCTATTGAGCGTCCAACTCCTGGTTTTAGTTCAGGTCATGATCTCAGGGTTGTGAGATCTAACCTGGCCTCAGTCTCCAAGTTCAGCATGGAGTCTGCTTAATACTCTTTCTCCTCTGTAAACGCCCCCCCAACTCTGTGCTCTCTCAATCTCTGTCTCTATAAAAAAAAAAAAATAAATAAATCTTTAAAAACACATACACGCACACACACAATGAGGCACTACCACAAACTTCTTGGAAAGGCTAAAAATAAGAAAATAAGACTGGCAATACCAAAAGCTGTCATAGATAGATAACATCTGGAGCTCTCAAACATGGCTGAAGAGAATGCAAGATGGACCAGTCACTTTGAAAAATAGCTTCATTGTTGCTTATTATATAAAGTTATATATACACGTACTATATCACTCAGCAACTACACTCCTAGGTGTTTACCCAGTTCAAGGAAAACTGACGTCCCCACAAAGAAGTAAAGGTGAATGATTATTATGGTTTTATTCACGACTGCCCTGAACTAGAAACAAAGTAAATGTTCTTCAACTGGTGACCTGGATAAACAAACTAACAAATACACACGATAAAAATGAATAGACTGCTGATGCTTGCAACAATATAGATGAATATCAAATTTTTTATGCTAAGTAAAAGATGCCAGACTCAAAGTTACACACAGTATAATTCCATTTATATCACATTCTAGAAAAGGCAAAACTGTAGGGATAGAAAAGAGATCACTGTTTGCCAGGGCTAAGAAGAAGGAAAGAAGCGTGGGAGAGTTTGGGGTGGGGGGGAGTGGTGGGACTATTTCATATCTTGACTTGCAATTGTAGTTGCAATTACATGACTACATAGTTTGTCAAAACTCATAGAACTTAGAAGTGTGGATTACATGGTATGCACATTATATTAGTATAAGAACATTAAAAAAGAAAAAAAAAGGACGGGGTATGAACAGGTGTAGTGGTAGCAGGGATGGAGAAGAGCAGAGAACCAGGACAGAACCAGGTATTTATGAAATAGACTTTAAGGTCTCTTTCACCTGGTACTGGGTGGTAAGGAAGAGATGATTTAAGATGGTGCAGCATCCATATCTTAACTGTTGTGAGTAATGCTGCAGAGAACATGGGAGTGCAGATACCCCTTCAAGATACTGATCTTGTTTCCTTCGGAAGTGGGACAACCTAATTGTCTATCTATGGATAAAGAAAATGTGGGAAATCTATATCTATATCTATCTATGCACACAATAGAATAGTACTCGGCCATAAAAAGAAGAAAATCTCGCCATTTGTGACAACATAGATGCACCTTGAGGACATCATGCTAAGAGAAATAAGTTAGAAGAAAATACTCTGGGATCTCGTTTATATGTAGAACCAAAAAGAGAGAGAGAGAGAGAATATCAAACTTACAGAAACAGAATGGAATGGTGGTTGCCGGAAACTGGGGAATTGGGGAGAGGGGGGAGAATGGGAAACATTGGTGAAAGGGTATAAACTTTCAGT